GTATGTAAGTAAAAGGCTAATTACTGTAATTAAATTGGGAGCCGCTTCTAAAGCAATACTAGTTAGTAGAATATTTATCTCTCAACATAACCAAACAAATTGCCTAAAAAATATAGTTTTTTTTTGTAAATTGCTTGTGGCCCAAGGATATGGAGAGTTCATGTTTTCAGAGGCGCATTTTTACTGTCGCTACAAAAATCAGTAGCAGCAACAACTCTTAATTTCTTCACTTGTAAAATTGTTTCCAGTCCTTCCCTCTATATATGTACGCACAAGAATGTTTTGAAATACGTTTGGCAGAACAAGACAGTTTAAAAAACCAATCCAAATAACTTAGTCGACCACTGATAGCTAATATTATTATAGTCTAATCCACATATTCAAATGGATCTTGTCTTGCGCAGACGACGAGCCAAGCTCAAGCCACGGTTTTTGTATGAATGCCAAAACGCCGGCTAAAGAAAAGTTGCGCACTCCGATTCTTACCCTTGTTTGGCATAATTTCCGCACTCTGAATCTGACCCACGACACTGAAGCATCCCGTACGCTCTTTGATGGCTCTAGCAATACGATCAACTCGGGCCTCGTCCAAATACCGTATGTAGAAAATTGCATTTTTGGTATTGAATCCCTCCCAATCAGTAGTAGCCGTTGGATTAGCATTTGTCAGATTTTTTTTTTTGTTTAAACCCGAAAACGACTATTAGATCGAATGACTTAGAAGGCTTTCTTTGATGAACAAGCCCATAGAGTTTTAAAAGCCCAATCGATGTTTGATGAAACTGGGGGGATTGAGGAGATGTGTTCGTGACACGTGGTAAGGAGATGTGTTTGTGTCAAGTGAAGTGAAGACTCTCGTGCTCTTAGAGGGTTATTTAGCAACTCTGTTTTTAAGTCATATGATGATGTTTAAATTTATTTTGTTGCGAGTGCGAGTACAATCGTACAAATTTAACAAACTCAAACACCTATAAGAGATTCGATGCTTCATTGAATGTCAGTAAGATACTAAATTTCAATTTTTTTACCTTTGATTTCCAAGTATTGCTTGCGTTTCCACAAAGAGAAAAATGTAGGTATTTTGGAGAAACCCGCTAGTTTAATAAAATCTGGGTCGAATAAATGTAAATGAGCGATGTAACGGGAGAAGATTATCCACAGCGAATTGAGACGGATTGTGCAAGTCTGATTTCCATAACTACGCATTACACTAGATTGACCATTTTTCAGTGTGTAGCTCGACTCGTTCAAGATACTAAAATAACATTTTGTATCCTTTAGCTTTAGTTCATATCCACGAAATGGTATTGTCTATGTGAATTTCTTTGCAAAAAGAATTCGAACACGAGTTTATGTATTTTTCCATACAAGTGATATATTTCTCTTTGGGATTTTACCACAAGGGAAACCGTCCAAACGCCAACACTTGATTTAATAGAAAGTGATTGTAGGAGAAAAAAAAAGGTTTTATGTTCAAGAGAGAGGCAAGTGTAAAGAAAGAGGGAATCTAAAACAAAATGTTTTTTTCTTCTTTTGTCTTGCATTTTACCAGTCACACTCAAAACGGAAACAAAAAAAAAAACTAGCAGAACAAATTGCAACAAAACCAACCCACTTAAGTCGACAATTGATCATCTAATTCACATATTGGAATGGATCTTGTCTTGGCCGCCATGATTTGTGGAGGCCGGCTAAAGAAACCTTGTGCACTCTGATTGTGACCGATGACACTGAAGCATCCCGAAAGGTCGTTGATGGCTCTTCTGACTATAGCAATGCGATCAACATCCTTACCAACCCGGGACTCGTCCAAATACCGTATGTAGAAAACGGCATTTTTGGCATTGAGTCCGTCCCCATCCATGGCCACTTTGACAATCTTCAAGTTGGGGAGATGATAACGGTTCCTATCAGTTGTGGCAACTGCGAGTTCCATATATAGACGAATCCAGTCATTGCCTTGCAGTTCTGATTCGTTCACCTTGCATCAAAAAGAGTAAATACTAATTAAGTAGATAATATGAGAGAGAGAAACAAAAACTCATAATCTTTACCTTGTATAATTGCTCGAAAGGATTCTCTGGCGGGCAGTCAGACAAGGTAAGCATGTGCCAGAGCAGTGATCTATCAGCCTTACTGATATTCCCGGTGTGACAAGATGATTTATCCCCTATAGTATAGTATACAAAAAAAAGAAGAAGAAGTGATTTATCCCATATACAAAAAAAAAAAAAAGTGATTTATAATTACCTCGAGGTCTAGCAATAGAGCAGGTCAAGTTCAATTTGCCATAACATTGTTCATTAACTCTAGTCTGAAAAGTTTGACGACGGGAAGCAGCAGCAGCAGGATCATGGGCAACCAAAGTGATGAAGTAAGAGGAAGCAGCAGGACCAGTGGACTGGTTGTATCTCTTGACGCGATTGAGCTTATAGTTTGTCCCATTGAGAAAATTGTAACGATGCAGACCCAACCTGGCATAAACGGTGACTATTGCAGAACAAGGAAACCCTTTCTCGCACGTGTAATTCACCAATCCACGATGTCCGTATCGGACCAAACCCTTGGCGTCGAACGGATCGGGGCCCTTATAAGGACCGGTCGCTGAACACATCTTCTCTATACACTCTTCCATGCTCCCGAGAACCGCAAACTCCGTCTCTTTGATCGGCTTCCTCCTCCTCTGTATCCTCTTCCTAAACGGCACCATCGCCCGATCTGATTAGAATTAGGGCTTCTCCACCGGATCTCCATATTTATTCATTTCTGGACTGGGCTTCACTTGGGCCCAAATACCTCTTCCCGTTTTTCTTTTTTTAATTAAATCACTTGGGCTTCATTGGGCCCAAATACGCCTAAAGAAGACTTGCCTCCCATTTTCTCATTGAAGTTTCGTCTAACTATAGCTATGCGATCGACTTCTTTGATTCAATATCCGTTCTTTGGTAGTATCTATAGCCACTTTTAAAATCTTCAATTATATTTTTAGTGTTTCTAAATATTTTTATTCAATTATAAAATGTATCTTTCATTTTAATGTAATTGTAGGATCAATACTAACTAAACTT